ATACTGGTGTATTTTATATTTATGGTATTTTCTACATTACAAATAGGGTTGCACAGATACCAAGTACAGTACTCGGTACAAGTACGAATACATGTACCAATACTCTTGAGTTCCAAGACTACGCTAGATAAAAATTCAAAAATTAGGAGGCAGCTGTCATTTGTAAGGAGCACACGGAGCTGTGCATCTCTGTTTTAATGTACAATTTTGTTTTTTTTTGCAGAAATATAGTTTATTGAAATTTTCAGACAAGAAATTGTAACAACATACCAAGGCAGCAACAAGTGTGCATCTTTGAGGAGAATAGGATAACCGCACATAATAACAAAAACAAAAGACTCACAACCAGACTAAACAAGCAGACAACAGAAGGACACAGAGACAAAGAAAGACAAGGAAGAAAGATAGAAAGGGGGGGGGAGGAAGAGGGTTATGACGCGATCAAGGAGAACAGATTATGTATCTATGCCATTGTCCTAAACTCATCCGATTCGATAAACATTAGCCAAGGCCTCCATCTAGACCGGAAGGTCTCAGACCTGTCAAGCCTCTCAGCAATCAGCTCCTCAGATCTCATTAGACGGCACATTTCCGTGGTCCATTCACCCAAGGCAGGAATCACCTGTGAGTTCCAGTGCCTAGGGATCAGTGCCCTAGCGGCATTCACGAAGAATCTCAAGAGGGATTTCTTCGCCTGGGAGATGGAACCCGGGAAGACCGATAGTATTGCCATTTGGGCCGTGAGATTGAGTTCTCTGGCAGACATTCTCGAGTACACATGTGAGACGGTGCGCCAAAAGAGGACAATCAGGGGGCAGCTCGACCAGATATGCGTTAACGTATCCACACCCGTTTGACATCTCCAACAAGTGTCTGGGAGGGAGGGGAAGATCTGGTGCATCCTAACCGGCGCTCTGTACCATCTAGTCAAGAGTTTGTAATTGCGTTCCTGCACCGCTGAGGACACACAGAGACTATGGGGTTGATTTACTAACCTTATAAACACACCACAAACATGTATACACCTCTGTAGTGTGTTCCCTCCCAGCATGA